GGGTCAAAACCAATGGTACCATTTTTGGGTAGGTGCACCACCCATTGTAGTCGATTTTAGTGGGGATTGAGATGTTCGCTGGGGGTACGGGATTTTGACCCATGGCCAAATGAGGTCGGGCAAACGCAAACATGCGGCATACGGATGACACAATCGCCAACTTGAATCGAATCGGCTTAAACGGTCGATTCTTGGCGATTTGGCCTTGCGGATGCAACCTGACAAAGGGTCCATGCAAGAGGAAAATGGTCTTCCATAAGGTTCCCCTCGGGTTCCATGTTGACGGACACGTAGACACCGACCACACCGTTTCCAACAACTTGAATAAGTCATGTTGGTAGTGCCGCAAAAACGCCATAAGTTATTCAACTAAAACACGCACACAAATACATATTATAAACCAAACATATAAGCCTATCTACCATGTTGTGTAATCATGTTTGGTCAACTCCAAACCATATATTTCCTTATGCTACTCGTGTCCAAACACATGTCTGGCTCTCTATCGTTCATTTGTCAATTCCTAGCAATCATGTTGCAACAAAGTCACTCATCACACGTCGTCTCCCTCGTTCCAAATTTCACAAGCTCGAAACAAAAACACGTTTTAAAGCACATGAAGCCGCAAGAAATTGATCCCATGCGAGGTTCCCAGGAAATATGTCACATTCTTCCGACGGAAACACGCCGGGCGAATGACGGGGCAGTCCTTGTACATGTTGTGGCCCCCCTCATGTGGGGAGGCTAAAGCGCGAACAAAAGCTCATTTTGGGAAACCTGGTACTAAACGTGTCTACCCCAATCCCCTCAATGAAACTGTAAACGACGGCTGCATCTATTCATGATCGGGACGTTCCCCTATCCTTAATCTCCATTTGCTTAAGCCCCCTGAAACAAAGGAAGACACATGCCCAGTGATATAAAAAACCAACAGGGGACAATTCAGATATTCTGTTCAGCACATAGAAGTTAATGCATCCGGATCTTGATTATCGCTCATTTGGCTGTGGGTGAAAAATACGTACCCAGAATGTGGCTTGATCTTGGCCCCCCTCGAAATGGAACAACGAGCAAGGCCCACAGATGCGGGCCTGGGCTCTATCTGAGGCACCCCGCAAGGCAGGGATGCTGAGGCCTGAGAGACGAGCGACGTTCTCAGAACGTAGCTGAAAAATGGGCAGTCCTCAGATCCCCCGCTAAAACCTTGGGGTTCTAAAAAGCTAAGGGCTATGGCTGGGAACCACCCAGATAGGGATCATCGGCCTTTGTCCAGCTTCTGGAAGTGCGACACGCTACTTGGGCGAGAAGCGCCAAATCGAGACAGTACCATCCATTTGCTGAAGCCCCCTGGGAAAATATTTCCAGTAGTGAAATCGATTCCCTTTAGCGCGAACCTTGCGGTCGCACACGCGCAGCAATGCGGTGCGGCGCTCGAGTCTGTCCGGCCCTGCGGCCTATCTACATGGCTTCGCGAGGTCCGCCGCTTTGCGGATACCCCGCTGGCATGTGAAGTTGAGAATCAGGCGTCGTGCCTGGTCTCTCCAACTGTTTGTAAGTCGGATGCAAAGGCCGTTGACCGGCTTAAAGATATGGAATGCCGTCCTGTCCAGCCCAGTCAAGAGAAAACGATCCAGGCTGAAGAGCCGCAGTACGTGGCTAAAGCCGCAGGTGACAAAGCGTACCAATGCAGCCACGGTGGAGCGTGTGTAAAGGTTGTCCAGGCCCTGCAGTCGAGTTCCACTTGCTGTACGTTGTGGAATGCTGAACATGCCAAAAGCAGAGTGAGCTCGATAAAAGAAAGCGGAGCAGATACCTCCGAATTGTCACCCCAGTTGCTCAACAGATCAAAAAGCTGCCATCCAAATTCCGGTGGGGCGAAAGTTGCGCCCAAGTTTCCATGCGTGTGCCAATTGATTGGAAGTAGTTCCAGAAAGCCGTCACTGTCAGCAAATTCGTTCCCGGCTGCAAATACTTCAGGTTCGGTCCCGTCGAGATTGTCAGTGCGCAGCACAGCCCGTCTGCGACCTCCAAGTAAAAAGGGCGAAACGAATTCAAGATGTGCTTCCATTCAATTTGGCGGTGTTGCTCCCGATCGAACATTGTCCAGGAAGATGAACTCCTCCGATCATTCAAGAGAACGGCCGCGTGGTCAACGACGTCGTTCCAGGTCCCGACCCATTCTTCGACCTCCGTCTCGCACAGGGTCGGATCAAGGTATGATGGGATCCAGTTGAAACATACCTGATCGGCGTCGAGTCCAAGAATGTCGAAGAGGTCCTGCTGGAGGTCGTGATTGTCGACGATATTGCACGTATTCTGGCCGGCCATGAATGATTTGGCAGCACGTACCGTATTCAAGGAGTCGCTCCATATGCAAGCGGTGCATCCATAATGTTGCACCCACAAACATGCTGCAATAACCGCTTGAATTTCAGCTCTGCTGATTGTTTGCAAAATACCACCACTGCCTAAGAGGCTGTGCTGAGGCTGCTGCCGTTGAGTGTTCGGCTGCTGCCATCCGTGAAAAGGTGCTGTACCCCTGCTCATGGCTCCGAATGAAAAATGGCCGCCCGAGGTATATCCACCAGCAGTTGCTTCAAAAGCCTCGCATCCGTCGACCCCGGGACAAGCAAATGTTGCAAGAAGGCGATATACGCGACCAACTGCTGATTTCAGGACGAGATGCCCTGAGCTCGGCGTACTTGGGACATTGCAGCCAGTGCATCTGGGTATCCGGTTCTCTAGCACCCCTTTCGACTCCAAGAAGTCCTTCAGCTGTTGATGTACTTCAGGCTGTGCTAGCCCATGGCCAAGGACCCTCCCGGCTTGAGGTCGCTGATTGATGAGCTGGTAGTGCATGAGGAGGATGTGATCCAAGTTGAATGTGTCCCAAACGCCGAGAGCAAATCCAAGGTGGAGAAGAGCGATGGTGCCGCAGGTCTCCGTGTGTCTTTGACTGTAGATGCACCGGTGCATCACTTGGAGCTGGTGCAGGCCTGCCCGGAGGGTCAGTTGTGCGGCAAGAGGAGCATGCGCCTCTTCGGTCAGCGTGTGTCCAGCTCCATCGTGTTGAACGGATGAGATTGGTCCCGCGTTTTCCAATCAGCAGGCCGACCTTTGGCCTCAAAAAATGCTGACGATTTGAGCACTTCCAGAGATCGCCTCCTCCAGCAACCTGGTAGATGGCGGTGTCCAACCAATCATTGTACAATTTCATGGCTGGCCCCTGGATTGACCAACAGTTGGCATCCGCATCAAGGAGAGGCGGCGGTGGAGATGTACTTCATCATATCCCAGATGATGTGATCGTACATGCCCTGCTCCTTGTTCATAAGTCAGGGTCCTTGGTGCCCACAAAGTGTTCGGGGGAATGGTGAAGATGGTCGCAGGTTGCCATACTCGAGTGTCACCTCCATGGATGACGCCATTGTCATCGTGGACAAAGTTGGCCGCAAAGATGCCGTGAGACCTCAGGGCTTCAAAGATGAAGCTACCAGGGTCGACATAGCTCTGCAATTCCTGGTTGTGATGGTAGATCGTGAGGGGGATCGATCTGCACAGTCGTTGTCGTTTTGCAGGTCTGGTTGTGCAATAAGTGACATCCTGTTGCAACTGGAGGTTGTGGTTGAGGAGAATTGGTCCAGGTTGAGCTGAGCGTCGTTGCTCAGTGAGTTCTCTGGTGACGCCCCATTCTTGGTTGATGCGCTCGGCCATGTTGACGGATCTCGGCGTGGAACGGGTTGTGGATGGCCAGGTGGCTCGAGCTCGCCTCCTAATCAGAAAGCTCCAAACCATCAGGTCGTTGGCTCCATTGATGTAGCAGCTGATGTTGGTACATCCTGAGGGCAGTCATGGGGTGGAGCACAGGCTTCGAGTTGATGGACTTTGAGCAGTTGTGCAGCAGAGTACCGTATACCTACACCATCTGGAGCGGTGAGGCAATGAGCCCCAGCAAGCACAGATTGGCCCGAGGGCCATGAGTGTACTCCATGGTGTCCATGACCCCGAGCAGTAGGGCGGCTTCTCGATGATGCAGGAACCTTGCTCGGCCTCCAGTGTCTCCCGGATGTAGAATCCTCTGCCCTTCTTGCAAAGATTGCTTTCTGAGAAGGCCTGAAGGCGGCAACAGCACGGGCATGCCATGGTGGCGTTGGCGTAGGAGTGGAGGATGGCTGAGGCTTGATCATTGAGATCCAGACATGTCTTATCTCGCCCATACTTGCCATTGCCGTACTTGGAGATTTCTTCTCATCCAACCGGAGCTCATTCATGGCATCGGTATCCCAGCTGGTGAACTTGCCGAAGATGGTGCCAACCGTGATGTATGGGCTGTGGCTTGGCCACGTGGTGAATCCATAGGATTGCCAAGCAGCTGGCATCATGATGGCCCACCAGCGGTGCCTTCTGCGTTGATGGGCCAACTCCATGTGGCTCTGAAGAATAACCCAGCCCATTGCCTGCGCCAGGGATCTCAAAGCGGTCTGAACTGCTGGGTGTCGCCCTGGTGGAGCCACGCGCTCGATGATTGCAGCCTGACATTGCGTCAGAAAAACAATACGTAGCCCACCCCATAGCGTCTTGGCCCTGGGATCCATGGTGCCCATCTGTCGGGCCTGTGACGAGTAAGGCTGGCAAGGAAAGCCAAATGCCGCCGTGGGTGATTTACCGGCAGTGTGTTGGTGCACTCGCATGGCGGCATCGAGGGTGTAGATCATTGTTGTCCCCTTGGCTGCTCCGCCCAGAAATTCGGCCCCATGGCCCATCCTGCCAAATCCGGCGCATAGCTCCAGAAGAAAGGGCGATACCTGAGTGCCGTTGAATGCAGATCGGCACGAAGTGATCACAGGCGGGTCCAAGGGAGTGACTACGAAGCGGTACAGGGAGTACCTACCAGGCTCAAGGTTCGGCGCCTGGATGCCCACCTGCGTCCCATCCGGGATGCGCGTCCCCAAGCTCAGTGGCCCGACAGAAAGCGATCCATGGCTTGCAAAGGGTGTCCCAAGCTTCAGCTGCCTCGGCTCCAGGCTGGAAGGTTTTGGGCCGAGAGCTGATAGATTCCCTACCACCAGGGAAAATTAAAAAATACTCTTAAGCAATTGGAAGGTACAACTCTTTCGGTCTTCAAAAATGTGGAGCTGTCCCAATGGTCTGGCTGTCTGAAATAGATACAAAACTTGCTGCGCCCTGGACCTCAAAAGTGCAGAACTCTCCCTATGTTTGAGGTCTCGCAAGGGAAAACTGCCGCGCTGTCCCTAAAAATGCGTTTGAAAAAGCAATCACTTTGAGTCTTCACGCTCTTGCGTCTGCCAGACTCTGAAATAAGTGATAAACTTGTTTTTGTTCGGGACGGTACAGCACTTGTTGCATGCAAGCACCAAACATAGGGACAGTACCACACTTGTTGCTTCCTGGTCGTCAAAAGAGTGGAACCCTGAGAGGTCCCTTAAAAACCTAGCCTTATCTGCTTGGCTGTCTAGAGGCTGCCTGAAAGAACTTTGAAAGGAACAGTTGCACAAGGATGCCAGTCCAATGAAAGCAACAGTTTTCAAATCAACTGTTGCTTTTTAAAGACCCTGGAAGGCAGAAAAAACTACCACCCCTCTGGAAGCCACAAGTTGAAAGTACCGGTTTTGCAAGGGAAGATTGAAATGACAAACCTACCAAATCTGGAAGCAAACGCTTTGAACTTGACAATGTGTTAAAGGGCGTTGAAAGCAAACACATCTACCAGCCAGAATTGAAAGCAATAGTACTTGATTTGAATGCTATTGTTAGCTGTGAAATGAAAACTCTACCAGTCCAAGAAGGCAGCAGCTTTGAAATTGACTGTGTGTTGTGAAAAGGAAATTTGCAGGAAACATCTACCATCACACCTCTGGAACCCACACGTTGAGATTGTCTGTCTTTTTTCTTGCTTCAAGAACGTTCAAGGACACGCCTACATGTCATTGCGCAGATCTGGACAGGAAACTTGAAATGACAACTTCTCCAACGGGAAACGGGACAGGGCTGTGACGGGAACAATCTACAACTCTGCATTGGACACGGAGGCATTTAACCTGAACGCTTTCTACATACTACCCCAAATCTGGAAAGCGACATATCCAAACTAGTGTCGTGTCTTTCCTCGCGGTTTCCTCATGACCAAACACTCAAATGAGTTTCAAACAACTGGATGCCCCAAAACTGGCTACACCTTCCAAGGACTGCTTTGGCTTCTCCAATTTGTTGAAACCCAAGTGCGTCCAAAAGGAGTCGCTGGGGGATGCTGCTTCGTTTCCTTTTAGCTTCATGGTTGTGGAAATAACCCTTTGCGATACCAAAGTGGGCCGCAACCTTCATGCATTCTCAAAGTTGAAGAGCATTGCTTGCACAGGAAGTGAAGGTGGTAAAAATGGACTGTTGGGAGTCGGGTTCCTCTTGGGTTGCCCTTTACAACCAGTTTACACTGAACTTTGGGACCCAATTTCGCACCACGCATGGTCCAAGCAGCCAACCGCCTCCTTGTTTTTCAGTTTCGCGAACCCCGAAAACGTCCCTTACCAAAAAAAAGAAATGGCCCAACAAGCGGTACCTGGAGTCTCCATGACCCCTTAAAAGGGTCCATGACCCCTTTATTTTGGGTCATGGCCCAATCATTCAAGGTCAAAAGGAGACTCCAGGTATACAAGTTCAGAAGATCCCTACTCCCAAATCCAAAACACAAAACAGGCCCAAAAAGCGAGAGGCGAGAATTCATCCCTTGACTCCCCAAATCCCAAAACAAAAACATCCAAACAGCCCCTTGGTACCAAATTCAGAAGACTCCTCTCAGCTCAGCTGTTCAGTGACCCTGCAAAAAAAGAGAGAGAGATTTTGGAACCCTTTTTTTGGGCTTGAGGACCGCTTTTTTTCGTGGGGCCACCCAAAAACAAGTTGGGAAAAAGAAAAACATGAACACTACAACCCCTAAAAATGTGGGGAACATGCGGGGACAAATGTGGGGAACATGTGGGGAAAAATGTGGGGAACATGTGCAAAGCTGTGGGAAAAACATGGGAGCCACTTGGAGCCACCGAGTCCGCGCGGGCGACCCAAGGACTCGCCGAAGGGGCTGTGGAGCTTGGAGGCCCCGAAGACGCTTCCGCTCCTCGGCGCCGCTGTCCCCAGGCCCTCCTGCGCTGAAACGAGTGCAAGGAAGTCCCAAGAAAATAGACATTGAGGCAACTTGGTGCCGGTTTGTTGTGGCTTTGGCTTTTGTGGCTTGGTTTTTGTGGCTTTGGCTTTTGTGGTTTGGTTTTTGTGGTTTGGTTTTTGTGGTTTGGTTTTTGTGGTTTGGTTTTTGTGGTTTGGTTTTTGTGGTTTGGTTTTTGTGGTTTGGTTTTTGTGGTTTGGTTTTTGTGGTTTGGTTTTTGTGCTTTGGGTTTGGTTTTTGTGGCTTTGGCTTTTGTGGTTTGGTTTTTGTGGTTTGGTTTTTGTGGTTTGGTTTTTGTGGCTTTGGCTTTTGTGGTTTGGTTTGGCTTTTTTTGTGGTTTGGTTTTTGTGGTTTGGTTTTTTGGTTTGGTTTTTGTGGTTTGGTTTTTGTGGTTTGGTTTTTGTGGCTTTGGCTTTTGTGGTTTGGTTTTTGTGGTTTGGTTTTTGTGGTTTGGTTTTTGTGGTTTGGTTTTTGTGGTTTGGTTTTTGTGGTTTGGTTTTTGTGGTTTGGTTTTTGTGGTTTGGTTTTTGTGGTTTGGTTTTTGTGGTTTGGTTTTTGTGGCTTTGGCTTTTGTGGTTTGGTTTTTGTGGCTTTGGCTTTTGTGGTTTGGTTTTTGTGGTGTTGGTTTTTGTGGTTTGGTTTTTGTGGTTTGGTTTTGTGGTTTGGTTTTTGTGGTTTGGTTTTTGTGGCTTTGGCTTTTGTGGTTTGGTTTTTGTGGCTTTGGCTTTTGTGGTTTGGTTTTTGTGGTTTGGTTTTTGTGGTTTGGTTTTTGTGGTTTGGTTTTTGTGGTTTGGTTTTTGTGGTTTGGTTTTTGTGGCTTTGGCTTTTGTGGTTTGGTTTTTGTGGTTTGGTTTTTGTGGTTTGGTTTTTGTGGTTTGGTTTTTGTGGTTTGGTTTTTGTGGTTTGGTTTTTGTGGTTTGGTTTTTGTGGTTTGGTTTTTGTGGTTTGGTTTTTGTGGTTTGGTTTTTGTGGCTTTGGCTTTTGTGGTTTGGTTTTTGTGGTTTGGTTTTTGTGGTTTGGTTTTTGTGGCTTTGGCTTTTGTGGTTTGGTTTTTGTGGCTTTGGCTTTTGTGGTTTGGTTTTTGTGGTTTGGTTTTTGTGGTTTGGTTTTTTGTGGTTTGGTTTTTTGTGGTTTGGTTTTTGTGGTTTGGTTTTTGTGGCTTTGGCTTTTGTGGTTTGGTTTTTGTGGTTTGGTTTTTGTGGTTTGGTTTTTGTGGTTTGGTTTTTGTGGTTTGGTTTTTGTGGTTTGGTTTTTGTGGTTTGGTTTTTGTGGCTTTGGCTTTTGTGGTTTGGTTTTTGTGGCTTTGGCTTTTGTGGTTTGGTTTTTGTGGTTTGGTTTTTGTGGTTTGGTTTTTGTGGTTTGGTTTTTGTGGTTTGGTTTTTGTGGTTTGGTTTTTGTGGTTTGGTTTTTGTGGTTTGGCTTTTGTGGTTGTGGTTTGGTTTTGTGGTGGTTTGGTTTTTGTGGTTTGGTTTTTGTGGTTTGGTTTTTGTGGTTTGGTTTTGTGGTTTGGTTTTTGTGGTTTTTTTGTGGTTTGGTTTTTGTGGCTTTGGCTTTTGTGGTTTGGTTTTTGTGGTTTGGTTTTTGTGGCTTTGTTTTTGTGGTTTGGTTTTTGTGGCTTTGGCTTTTGTGGTTTGGTTTTTGTGGTTTGGTTTTTGTGGTTTGGTTTTTGTGGTTTGGTTTTTGTGGTTTGGTTTTTGTGGTTTGGTTTTTGTGGTTTGGTTTTTGTGGCTTTGGCTTTTGTGGTTTGGTTTTTGTGGTTTGGTTTTTGTGGTTTGGTTTTTGTGGTTTGGTTTTTGTGGCTTTGGCTTTTGTGGTTTGGTTTTTGTGGTTTGGTTTTTGTGGTTTGGTTTTTGTGGTTTGGTTTTTGTGGTTTGGTTTTTGTGGTTTGGTTTTTGTGGTTTGGTTTTTGTGGTTTGGTTCAACTGTGGTGAGGCAACTCTTACCCCTTAACTTGGTGTTCCTTTGGGCCTGGCCGAAAATTATTTATTGCGGGCAGGGGCTGTGGAATCCTTCGGACTAATTTCCATGCTGCACTCTTTTGCCCGCCCTTGCATCTGACAGCACGCTCAGAAGGGCAGACCTCGGCGCCACGACCGAGCAATTGCGCACGACATGCAACGCAGCTGTGCTTTGCAATTGCCACGGATGCAATGAAAACCTCGTGCCTTTTCCACTCACTCTCCCCTGGAGCGTCTCGACACCTTTGTGTGGACGGAGTGGCTGAGAAGCATGGGCGAACATCCTAGCAATCATTCGCAACCACTGTGTTTCATGCCTCAGCCACGCCCCCTTACTGCCCCGGCTCGCCATTTCGCAGGGCTGCAGATCGCATCCCTGCCCCGTGCACTCTGGCACTGGCGGCCAAAAAGTGAAACATGTCTGTCAGGTCCTGGATGACCACAGCCCCATGGGCCCAATTCTGCATTTTGGGCCTGCGTTCAGCCTCACTGACTGACACCCGCCAGCGAGAGCCTTTCAGGCTACTCAAGGCCTGAAGTTGTTCCACAACTCCACGGTGTTTTGTGGCAAAACGGCCGCTCAAGGTCAGCTGCCGCTGGGGTCCACTGAAGCAGGCTGCATCGTAGCGTCTGCACTTGCGTAAGTCATGCAAATCGGCCTTCTCGATGACCACCGCGCCCAATGCCACTGCTGCAAGAGGCAGCTTTGGACGTATGTCCCGGGAAGCATCGCAGCCCAGCCTGAGCGCCGCTGGAAGCATCGATCCCTCCTAAGCAAAGGATTGCTTTGCTTCCTTTATATACTAGTAGTGGTTGATTTCTCGTGGGCTTGGGTTTAAAACGGTTCAGTCTCCCTCGTATGTTCTTTCATGTCGATAAACGTGACGGCTAAGTCTTCGCACGTACGGGTTGGCTGCAACCAAAAGAAGGCGTGCGAAAAAAACAAGTTAAGGACAACTTTTCGCACATAGACGACAGCACGGAATGATGTCACGGGACTCCCCCAATGCCCAATGCTCTGGCCTAATGCAACAGACCGCTGTGAAGAAGTCTTTGTTGTGTTGAACGTCAGCTGTGGCAAGAACCTTCAGACTGCCTTGGTTTCGAGGCCTGCCTGCTCCAGATCACCCCGAAGCCTGCACTATGGCTGAAGACCCCGAAGCTTTCATTGTTAGGGAAAAAGGAGAGAAGATACAGCCTCATGAAAACAACAAAGAATTCGGACAAGAAAACACGCCAAACAACAGGTGCAATTCGGACATGCCTTACATGCCATGGCTCAAACCTGCTCCAGTCAACACACTGGTGTTTTTGTTTGCTCATGTTTTGGCGTCCAATGCATATTGCATTTGCACTCCCATTTATGGTTGACAGCCATGCAAACTGAATCGCACGGTCAATATCGTATTGCGTCAACCCTATTTCTCTTTCGAAGCTCTCCGTGGCCTTGGGCGCACGCGGTCAGCTGAACACTACCATTTCCTTTGGACATAACTTGGAGCCCCGATGGGCTAGGTAAACAGTCCACCCAGAAGGCCGAGGGCTCAAGCCATGCACAGACTGTCCGAGGCGCCCAAGCTGCTCGAAGGAGTCCAAGAGGACCCCGCACTTTGCGTGCTTTGGAAGCTCGCGCACCAGGCCAATGCCTGTGTACTGTTCGTGCCTCCGCAGCTTTGCGCACCCAATGCGTCGTCCAAGATCTTGAGCTTGCACAGCTGCCTCACAACCATCCAGCAAAAGCCCGAAGAAAAAACCACGCGCAGCGCCTTGGTTCTTGGGCGCGAAGATGGACCCTTGCACAGACTTTGGCTTGGCGTAAGGAGGTAACTTCGTCCGTCTTCGGGTGGATTCAGCTTGCGCAGCCTTGACTTTGGCCTTGGTGAGCTCATGGAAGCGCTTGAGCTTTGTATTCCACTTGAGCTCCTCGGGATCTGCTTTGAAAGCGCTGGTGATGAGCTGCGCCACGGTGGAGCCTTGCAATATCGATGGCAGCTTTGAAAGAGGCTCTTTGCTCTTGGCCAAGGCATCGCACGCTGCTTTTCGGCGCCGCTGCACAGCACGGTCAGTGCCCTCCCCTCGCTTTTGCCCTGTGCGTCCATGGTCCTTGCGCTTCTTGTAGCAGCAAAACCGCCGGCCATGGCAGCGCAGCCACTCCACTTGCCAGGCTTTGCTGAGGGGTGTAAGCTTCAGCACGCCATCCTCGCCATCGACGATCGCCTTCTCCTCTTGGACGGGACATGCAAAGGCCAGGCGACCAAGATCGTCTGCCGTAACTCCCGCCTCATCCAAAGGCCCCGCGTGCGCACTGAGAAGCTTCTGAAAAGTACCCAGGTCGCGTTCTACCTGGCCCGTGCCGTCTTGGATGGAAAGCATCCACTCCACAACAATCGGAAGCCATCGAAAGCCTCGAGGGCCGGCAATGCGGCGACCCAGTGCTTCGTTGGACACTCTAGCCCAGCAAGCTCTGCTGTCAAAGCCGTCCTCCACAATGGAAGCTCGCTCCTCTTCCGCAAAAAAAAGCGCGGCCACCTCCAGCTCCGAGACGCACTCTTGCACAACCTGAAACTTCGGACACTGTCGTTTTGCTTTTTCCAAACGCCCGCCCTTTATCATATCATCAAAAGCAGACAGGCTCCCAGGTGGCCCCCCCCCAGGTATGCACAGCAAGGGGCCAAGGGGAGTTTACGGGCAGCTGCAAATGCTTTGCAGACGGTGCTTCCGCGACGTCGCAGAGCTGCAAGCGCTGACTCTGCCCGCTCCCGGTCCGTCTCTTGCATGCGAAGAGCTCGCAGCCACGCAGGCAAGTGAAAGCACTCGAATGCCATCAGCCTTAGTCCGGCGCAGCCCTGCTCGCACAGGCTGCGGGGCACAAATCACCCCATAGAAGTGTTTAGGGGTACCGGAGATGGCTACCCAACGCGGCTATGTGTTCCACAAAATGGCTGCCTTCTGAGGGGTGGGGGATACAGGAAAACATCAGAAAGGGCAACATCATGCCAAAACAGATCAAAGGCCAAAATGTG